GCGTGCAAAGTCTCACTTGTATACCTTCGCTCGTGAATACCAGTGTGGCGAAATATACAGTTACATGCACCTAGAAATCCCTAGACATAAAAACATATTAAGGTACAAGAAGATCAAACGATGGCCACTCCGCCTTTAAACTCGGTCAACAAGCAATACTGATGCTTCACATTGAACCTGTTGCAACGAATGCTTAGCATTGTACTATTCATAGCCGCCTTCCGCCGCAATAACCTGCAGACGCATACCTATTCCGAAGAATGACCTCATTTGCTGTCTGTTGATAAGGTGATTCTGTAGCCATATTGCTTGCGAGTGGTTTGCCAGTTATCTCTGAGTGGAATGATATTTATGAAATTATTTTCGAGTGGGGATTTTGTCGATTGAGGTGTCTGGTCAGTGGTCACTGGTGTCGCATATTAAACGCCGTGTGGTGTCAGGTGTGACTCTGGTGTCACAACTCTCGCTCTCTCTCTCTCTCTCTGAGTTGACTAAAATGCCATCAGTGTTGTCAGTTGTGTCAGTGCGACAAGCCGACAATACTCACTCAGGGCATTATTTATTTATTTACATTTTTAGGCCATGGATTAAATGTCCTCAGGCCCTCAGCCCTCGCCCCTCGCGGTCCTCGCCCTAGGTCTCAGAAGTCTCTGTAGGGCTTATTTCATTTTATTTATAAAAAATACGTAGTGAGACGGACGAGTCCGCATGGATTCATCATTCACCCCTTTGAAGTTTGAACTTTGAACCCAGACTCCCAGACTCCCAGAGGGCCGTGTTTTAAATAGCTCTTGAGTGCTCTTCGCCTCTTCTAAAGTCAAGGGCATTTTTAACTTTTCAAGGGCTAGTGTTGAACTGCCCTCTGGTGGTTCAAAAACATTTTAAAAAAATGGTTGGTTCAACTGAAAATCGACCGGAAGGCGGAAGACCCCGGTTCTCAAGGACCTTTTTTACTTCCAAATTCAATGACGTCACTAGATGTGTATTTATCAAATGCCATGACAAATGGACAAATGGACAAATAACATGAAGAGGAGAGATATGACCAATATATATATATATATTATTACAAATGATATCCGTATCCCACAGGCAGACAGACAGACAGACAGACAGTGAGTGATTCATGATTTAGCTAATATCTCCGTCTGGAGTAGGATTTACTACATTTCGTATAAGGTTCAGCGAGATTTTCAACTCAGCTCGTACATAGAAGCAGTGTATGACTCGAGAAGGTTTAAATTTCGTTGGAAAGCTGTTTGCGTAATTTGGAATCGAAGCTGACAGTATAATTCAGTTGTGAATGTCTTGCTCAACTTAAATACGACATTGTATATCAGTTGTATCCTCGCGAACACGTGATTGTGTTAATTTGTTGGCTCAATCTGTTTCTTATGCATTATTAACTGTCATTAAAGCTATGTTTTAAACCTGTTTAGAAAACTATGTATTTTGGAAATGTCGTGTCCAAAAATTCCGGCATACAATGACTGGTGCAGAACATTGTATGGAGTACAGCAATGTCGGGCGTGTTGTATCGTAATAGTATTCCATCTTATACTACAAGAAGATCGAGATTCGGCAATCGCCTCACGTATGCGCTGAGGCCGAGCGATGATGTGGTTCATATTGCGAGCCATATAGTCGCGTGTTGATAAAACCTGTAGCCAATCCACGAAACGCATCGTGTACGCTTGTACAGAACCATCCGCACTTGAACACGCGTATGACAGTATGTTAGCCAGCATATCTAACAAAAGCCATTTGTAACATTGATAATACGCAACAGTATCATATACCAGTTTGCGCCAGATATTCGCAGCTTTCAGGTTGCGTTGATAAAGATTCGGTGACAATGGAAAAGAAATCATTGGATGGACGGTGATGGTGCGATATTGACATAAATAAGAGAGCGGTATCGGCCCATCTTGCGATATTTTCTCTCTGTAAATATCAGTTGCTTCCATTGTGAAAACAGCGCACATACTAGCCCTTTTGGTATGAGGCGGATGTGTCATAAGGGCCTCTTCCTTAAGTCGCTTCACGAGTTCATCTTTGAAACCACTCGTGCTAAACATCGATTCGTTCCGTGCATGCCCGATAATTGCTCGTGCCCGTGTAAAGAAATTTGTTTCAAGGGCATCTACGTAAGTCTCGAACCAGACTTTGCCGCTTCTTTCATAACCTTGAAATCTTAATATCATATCATCAACCTTTTACGATTTCAAAGGAAACATTTTGGCCGTCCAAAACTGTGCAGCACTACTAAGATCAAACCCCGGCTTCGCCATCAGCATCATTCCTATTCAATCTACTTCAAATTCACACATTCGTGATTGTGGTGCCATAAATAAAGCGTCGATGAAGTTGCCGATAAATGAAGGTGCCAGCAACGAGATTAATGCATGAACTTCACTGAAGACCAGACTTTCATTAATATGTTGTGCCAAGCCATGAGCAACCTCGTGACCTAAGACGAAGGCGATTTTTTCGTTTGATATACTCGGGTCCGTGTATGAAGATGACATTACTACAATATTACATTTCGAATGAAAATTTGGAACGCAAAAATTTCGTTCAGGTACGTATTCGCTCACTATGAATGCCCATTTTCGAACGTCTAGCCCAGCAGCTACAACAATTAGCTTTCCAATATCCGATACAGGTGTGTAAGGGGCAAGTACGGCGGGAATCCTGCTACTAGGTTCTCAAGTGACCCTGGCAACATTTTGCTTTTGTCCTTCCCAGATAGCGCCTCACTTTCCTGGCGAACAAGCTCAGAAGAACGAAGTAAATACCGCTGCCGTCCGCTCCACTGTACAGTGTCGGTCGTGATATCCTTAAATATGTCCGTACACATAGCAGCGAGAATATAAATGGAGGAAAAAAGTACCATAGAGAGTATCTGTCTTCCACGGGTTCTAATACCAACCGGTTATGAAGTCTCTGTCTCCTGGTGTAGAGGGTTATTTTTTTATCACATTTTTTAAGGGAAAATAATGTAAAATACCATCTCGGGAAGACAATGCAAGTGTGAACGGAAGTGTTTGGTACGTACATTACGGGCGATCTATTGAAGCCCCACGGGTTTGTTCGACTTGAACATTCTCTCATAGTGTGCGGAGAAGGCCTCAATACTTTGTCCCTGAGGTATAGATACCTGTTGCTTTATAAAAGATGATTCATGATGATACTGGCAATATAGACAACTTCTGCTGACTGATATCGGTTAATATAGCACAGCCTAAGTATGTATGTCTGACATTGAGTGATATGTAGGATATCAATGAAAGATCTCAAACTTTCAAAGACTCAAAACCAAACGGTGACGCTTAGTCTCGTCCTTGTTTCTATTTCGGTGGCGCTAATAAGTCTCCCCGCCTTGTTTCTAAATATTTTTTACCTTGTTTTTCGTTTGATGTTTTATTTTATAGAAAAAACACAAGCAACAAACCCCGAAGATAGTTTCACTACACTTGATATGACGTCAAATATTTATATAGGAATTTTGTAGCCTCCTTTCATTTCGGAAAAATTTGAACGGCTATCGTGCAGGTGCACTGACACTCGCGTATAGATATTTAGGGCTGAGAAAATATTTTCCATTTCTATTGACCATTATATCCGAAATTTGTTCCTTTTTTGGAAAATAAAGTATACAGTGCTAGCCGTCATAAAATAAAACGGCCACATTTTGACATGTCACCACCCCTATGTGTGCCGACCAAAATGTGACTGAGGTGTCGGGCACCAATACGTATATGTTTTCACAATACATGAGACGACCCCGACAGGCGACATGTGAAAAGTTATTTTTCTACATAAGATATTGAACTTTTTGAAATTCAGACTTGCATCGGTTTTCTTGATAATGGTCGATTTCTGCCCTCAACAGTGCCGAATTCAAATTTTGAAAAACGGACAATAATTCCAAATTTTCATCTAAGTGACTAACTCTTTGATCGGACCAGTATTGATGGTTCTATACTTACTCGAAGTAGGGTCATTTCACAACTCTATACATAATACATAAATAATGCACTGCTGTGCTGTTTGTACCAGCCACCGTACATATGCATGTATTTTTTGTTTCAAGTTTATATAGAACAACTGAACAACTGCATCCTCGATTTGAAAATCGTAAATCCTGTAATCCTCACTTTCCTCAGGAGCCAGGACTCAGGACTGTCATTGTCCCAGGCACTCAGGCAGCCGGCAGGTCATTTCGATCAGTCGTTCGCATCTCTGATCTGAGTAATCTCTCCCTATTTACTGCGGAAAGTAGAGCCTTCTACTATTACATAGCTCGCTCTAGAGAGAGTAGAGAGAGGACCCTAATAAAGATTTAAGTGCTCGGTGAGTGACGGTGACGGCCTGCTGTCAGTTGTCACTTGTGACTTTAGACTTGGGACTTGTCAATGTCCTGTGGCTGTCATCATTCTTCAGTGAGTTCACTGTGCACTTTGCCACTTGCAGCTAATTCAATTTCAGCTCCTTTATTTTCTAAAAACAATATTTGCAAATATCTCAACAGTATTAAAATGTGTCTATTTATTTCTGTATTTTAGAAGGCTATGATTTATTTTCAATTGACAATTTTTGAATTTTGTCAAACAGTCAAACAGTCAAACACGCAGGTCACTCTCAAGCTAAGCTCAATAAGTTATAGGGGTACGGAATATAAGTTCCAACTTCATTGTTAACTTTTTGATTTTTAAAAGTTATAACTTTTATTTAGGACAAATCAACTAAAGTTATTTTTTGAAACTGCACTCAAAAAGCTGTCCTATCATTGAAAATTTTAGGCTACGAAATTGACAATAGGCAATCAAAAGAGATTGAGCGTTTCAGTTGTGACGACTGTCACCTGAGTGACCTGGAAAATGCACCAATAAGGGTACTATCGAAAGTTGCAACTTTAGTGTTTATTCGAGGCATAATAAAAGTTGCAACTTTTAACGCATTGAGCTTAGCTCTCAAGCCCAAATCTAAAATATTTAGTCAACTTTACGTCTTTTTATTTGCCTGCATTCTTGTGACTTGCGGTATGCTGTAAAATATCGAATGATTGGAGTTTTGGATTTTGGAGGCGTATTGCCAGTTGCCTGCTATGCAGAGTGCAGAGCTTGACTTCCTCATTTTCGAATTCGAACTTGGGATTTCCGATTTCAGGTTTTGCCACCACAGAATTGAGTGAGCACCACTTTCTCGGGCATAATGATAGTATACAGCCACCCAAGCTCCCAACTTCTTTACACAGTCACAAGGTCTAGGCATGACACTACGTCCATGTGCTCTGTCTTTATGCGCAATTGCTTCGGTCTGGCGTGTGCCTATACGCACCACACACTCTACAGCATATTACGAATTACAATTGATCTTCATCAGGGGGGCTGGCCGCTTCTTGCTGTGAAGTTTCGAACTCCTGTTTCTCGGCCGGATCAAGCATGCTGTGATACGTGCACAGGATCAGTCGATGTCAACCAAAACAAAGCGAACCTTATGCTGGGATAGATTGATTATCCGCAGAAACAATGTATAACACAGCGAACTAGGTCGTGAAATATACGGCTTGATCAACGTATAGCACAGTGAACTAGGTCTTGAAATATACGGCTTGATCAATGTATATCACAGTGAACTATGTCTTGAAATATAAGGCTTTATCAACGTATATCACAGTGAATTAGGTCTTGAAATATACGGCTTGATATATGGATTGAACTGCACATTTTAACATCTTCCTGTGTAATTTATGCAAAATTGAATCACGGTTTTGATCCGATAATTCTTGATGCAGTCTCGACACACACAAAACTTGACAACTCTGTTGCACAAAGCAGACAGTGTGCAAGCACTTTAGCTGATAACCCAACATACCTGTAAGCGATTCATGATATATACAAAACACCATCGGATGGGTTAAGCACTCGGAACGTAAATTAACATACGTATATGTTATATATACTGATATGCATAAAAGCACAACTTGTCAAAGCTTACCTATATCTGTTAAGCAGCACACACTCTCCGCCATCTTGTGCATTCAGACTGTACTGGTAGAAGAACCCATCACCTGTTGCCACCATCACTAGCGGTGTGGAACTGTGTGCATGACGAGAGCGTAACAGCTGAAAATAATACGATAGGTAGGCGACTAGCATATGTATGTACACAGAACTGTTTATGGACGTGTGTATTACCGCTTCTTTGGGCAACTAGGCCATATGGGAGTTGAAGCAAATGGAATCGCGCTAAAAATCATAGTAGCGTGAAACGGTGACAAATTAGCACATTCGAGTCAGGAATATAGAATACGTATGGACAATTGATTGCCCCAGGAAGGACAGAGCATGTCCAATAGGATGATTTGTTACTCAGTCGCATGCTACATTCTGTGCCCTATATCCCAACTGACGGTATTACAGTCTCACAACTGCATTGTGGGTGAACAAAATAATCAAATGGTAGGCAGGTAATCATATACGAATGGATATACATAGAGAGAGCGTTTTATCAATATTGTATAAACAAATAAAAATGTAAACCAACACATCCCTTACCTACGTAGGTGCATCCTGACTCACAGGTCACACACACAGTCGGTGCAGGCCGCAGAGATACAGACACCCACATCACTCTATACACACCAAGAAGTAGCCACGCGGCATGCCGACTGGACAACCACAGCTCTATCAATGGCGTGTAAACCTACATACCTATACTACAGGACGTGTATATGCGCAGCTAGGCACACGTGACATTTGCGACAACAGCCATGTATGTGTAACTACGAGAACGCACCAGTGAGCACGGCGTTGATTTGGGCTCAAGCCATTCACTTGAACGTATGTCAACAACAACAAAAATGCCACAGATACAACGTGTACGGTGCTCTATGGGTGGCATGGGAGAACGCTAGAGGTTTAAGGCAGGTATGAGCCACATAACTACAACTACAGTGGGACGGGAATATCGTACAACCCATCAGACAGAAAACTAGAAGCAGCAAAACAGAAAGATTGACAATTCAACTGTGACCAGTATGATTCTGTTCGAATACGTGCGAGCTTCTTATTATTGTGCTGAATCAACCTTAAGTATGCCGTATGTGAGTCAACAAGGGATCCGCGCAAGAAGAACACAGCAGAAGTATAAGGCACTTGACTCTAGTACACCAGCGAATGGATAAATGTGTCTGTCTGTTGGCGAATACAAAGATGATACCTTCAAGACACCCGCTATTGTATACAGGCCTGTGCAATCATAATCATACGGTGAATATACCAGGCGATACAAACGCATGACTAGCACTATACGCGCTTTATCATCATACACACTTTATCACTATATACACACTTTATCATTATACACACACTTTATCAGTATACACACTGCTATACACACATGTTATATCTACGCACACTTTCGCATACATACTTGCTTATAGCGCATATGTTATACTTCTTGATCGACCCCGGCGGCAGTTTGAACCAGGCGAAGTCACGCTCCGGCTGCCACATGTCTGTGAAGGCTTCAGGGATCCACGCACCGAACATCCCCCCCCCCGCACCCCCCACGATTTGCCCAGAATTGCCACCCCGGCCAGCAGCCTTGACGTTCTGTTGCTTGGCTTGTTCTCGGGCCCTCTCGTCTGTGCGTGCACGTGCATGTAGGTATATATGAATTTATGGATGAGTGTGTGTGTGTATGTACATATGAATTTATATCTTGTATTTAATACATACATA